CCAGAGGTAAGCTGGACCTGTCCTTCCATGCCAGACGCTTGCTCTTTGATCGCTGGCCAGGGCTAGGGACCGCACCCATGCACAAATTTTGCGCACTGGGCCTCTAGTCCAATATAAATAATTAGAGAAAGAGTATGAGACAGAGACACACACAGAGAGGAAGAGATCCTCAGGGACCTGTGGGACTGTATCAACAGATCTAATATTCATGTCACAAAAAAGATATGTGTGTGAAAACAAACAAATGAAAAATGAATAGTATACAGTCAACTTGAACAACCCTATTAAACAACTTTACCTAATACATGGCACTCCACCTCACAACAACAAAATACACATTGCTTTTCAAGCACAGATGGAGCATTCACCAAGGTAGTCCATATTGTGAGTCACAAAGAAAAACCTCATTAATTGTTTTTAAAAAGGAAATTATCCAATATTCTTTTAAAAAAATATATATATATATATTTATTTATTTATTTCAGAGAGGAAGGGTGAGGGAGAGAGAGATAGAAACATCAATGGTGAGAGAGAATCATGGATTGGCTGCCTCCTGCACCACCCCTACTGGAGATCGAGCCTGCAACTCAGGCATGTGCCCTTGACCAGAATCGAAACAGGGACCCTTCAGTCCACAGGCTGACGCTCTATCCACTGAGCCAAACCGGCTAGGGCTGGATTGTCTTTTTTAATGATTTGTTCTAGATTCCAAATGCTTTGTCAGATCTAACTTCTCCCACTCTGTGGATTACCTTTCACTCTCTCTCTTTTTTCTGTTATTGTCTAAAGTTTTACATATGTCTCCTTTTCCCCCAATTGACCCCCGCCCCAGCCATTAATGAACAAACAGTCTTAATTTTAATATATTCTATATTATCAATTTTGTAAAACTAACTTTTAGTATGTTCTGAACATCCACAATGTCCTAGGTGTCTTCAAAATAAAAACAAGAAGGCTAAATCCTTTCTAGGAGCAGCATGATACAGCCATGTACATGCTAAGTGCTCTGCACAGTGTCACTCTTTATATTTTTAAGGTGCTTTCTAATGGATATGCCATTTCTCCATGCTCTGTAAAAAATAAGTATTCATATATTTCTTTTTTTTATTGTTGGCCACAGTGTTTTTTAAACATTTACTTAGGCTGTTGAATATCAACTTCTAAGCCCCTTTGTTTATGGCCATCGAGAATTGGAACTGAAAAGAAAATCAAGCATCTGATCTGAGGTGTGAGTTTTTGAGAAAGTATGTTCTCTCAATTATGAAAGTCAAAAGAAATATCTAGAAGTCATGTTCTCCAGCTCAGAATCATCAGGTTAGGGCAATATTTTGTTCAAACACTCTTGACTACCTGGGTGTGGTCCCCCAGCTATCAGCTCTGCTTGGAGGAATTTCCTACCTTAGAAAAGAAAGAGAGATAGTCAAAGAGGCTTGGATTAAGGAAATCATTATCATTGATGAGGTTTTTCCAAGAGACCATCTTGCAACAGAAATCCTTCAGTTCCCTAGCCCTTTTCCTAAGCCTTCATGAGAAAATGCAGTGAAACATATCTAAGTCTCTGCTTCTCCTTATCAGTGGTTTTTACAGTATATGCCACAGAACATAGGGTTTCTGAGACATACTTCAGAGGCTCCACAATATTTGATTCATTTCATTTTTTAAAATAGATTTCTGTATTGCCAAAATTTAACATATTGCAAAACTGCCCACACATTAATTTGAGGTGAAGTCATTTCAGTGTAGACCCAGAATTCATCTCCACTGCCATCTTTGTAATTGAAGCCCATGCCCAAGATTTCAAGGTGGATCATTTAAAAACCACTCATATTTGTATCTACTTCTCTGGATCAGAATTTTCTTAAGAGTATACAACCAAAACAGAGGCATAAGAAATAAACTGTCCCTAGGCAGCTATAACTGCAAGTGTCCATAACCTCCAACTTCAAAAAAAAAAAAATGTTTCGAGCACAGAACAGCAGGGTCAAGAATACATTTTCTGAAGCGTGGTCTAAGACTTTGTATTTATTATTTTAGCTACCCAATTTCCTTACAATTAATTCCCTTTTGCTAAAAACAAAACAAAAAGAAACCCCACAAGACAACAACAAACCAACCTCATTGTTGTTGTTTTTAAATTTACCTGTAAAGTTAACGTTAAAATTTTGAACTTTCAAATGTTTAGTAATAAAGCACAAGTTTTCATCTACTTTATATGTTGGGGTTCTGTGACAGGCTTTGTTTTAAAATTTAATTTGAAAACCACAGAACTGAATAACTTCCCCGACTCCTGTCTTAGCCCCCTCCAGCCATATCTGTGCCAGTCTAACCACATCATGCCTCCACCCAAAATTTTTTTAAAACTGTTATCTAATAGGGAATCCTATAAAGTAAAGTTCAAATTATTTTGCATGACTACCAAGCCCTTCAAGATTTGGCACATGGTAGTGGGTATTCAATCACTATTTGTTGAGCAAATCAGTAAAAACTGGAGACTGTAAGATCGAGCCACACTATCCTACATTCCTTGAGTTTCAACAACTATAGTAATTATTATATGCTGCTTACACATAATTATTGCATTTATACACAGTGCTTTCCACACACGTCATCTTATTTAAATCTATTGTCTACAAACAAGATGAGCTAGGGAAAATGCTTTCTTGGAAGGCAGGTATATACATTACCTCAAGAGGCTGCAAAGTTTAAGATTTTCCTAACATAATATCTTGATAATGGGTCACAGAGGATTTTAAAGGTTTATAAGTAAAACACTCCTGGTCTGGCGTTCACCAGGCTCTTAGGAGAGGTCAACAGTGGTACATATCTGGGCACCACATGGAGAGACCTGGGACTTTTTTAGAAATAAACTTTTTATCTTGCAAATATCTGGGACTTAACAATGAACATGACCACAAAGACCTCCTTGACTTTACAGCCAATGCAAATCTGGGCTTGGCTTTTTAAAAATATATATATTTTCAAATTGATTTCAGAGAGGAAAGGAGAAAGAGAGAAAGGAGAAGCAGCAATGATGAGAGAGAACCATTGATTGGCTGCCTCCTGCAGAGGGATCTAGCCCAACTGTGGCTTATGCCCAGACGGGAATTGAACCCTGACCTCCTGGTTCATAGGCTGACGCTTAATCACAGGCTTTAACTCACTACCCTGAGGACACCTTCTCAAGTGTTACCTGGACCACAGCCCAACTGAAGGGTTTCCCTGGAGCCTGGGCCTGGGAGATGGGTGTGAGTTCTGCCGCTCACCAAGGAGGTTCATACCCGAACTGATAACACCTCCGCACCCCCTCGCCAGCGTTACTAACCACTACATGAGGTCATAAGTGCCGGTTTCACCACCTTATTCATGCCGCCGACCCTCACCACCCTGTGCCCACCAATGGGCCCACCCTGTCCCCTCCGCTCTCTCCGCGGAGCCCGCGGGACA